TAGCCCGAGCCGCACGGGAGCGGGGGCTGCGAGCTGTCGGGCCCCTCCGCGGGCGGCTTGTGCAGCTCCCGGGCCCCGGAGGGCGCTTTTCTCAGGTGAGGGCTTTTCATGGGAGAAAGGACACAGAAGGGCGTCGCGCTGGGGGGAGCGAGCTCGGCACTTCCGGTGGAGCAGGCTTTGCCAGAAAGGCCATTGACGGTGGTGCATAGACCCAGAATTCTCTTCTCGGAAGTCGCCTTGGAGAACGGCGCCAGCTGCGGGCTGGCCTTGATGTAAGGCACGTCGAGGATCTCGTCCATGTCCAGGTCGTAGTGCTCCAGCTCGCCCAGCGCTGGGCCGGGCTCCGAGCCCTTCCCCGGGCCGCCCCCGCCGTCCCCAGGGCCCAGCTCCTCGGGTGGGGGGCCTGGGGCAGGCTCCCCGCCTTTTTGGAACTCCAGCTTCTGGCTCTTCTGGTCGTCGTTGTCATTGCTCTCCAGGGTCTCCGGCTGGTGTTTGAGTGGGGACACCCGCTTCACGGGACGGAACTTACTGTACACGTCCGCGATGCCCGTGGGCTTCTGCGCGTTTGCAATCAGAGTGGAGACGCCACAGCTCCAGCTAGAGCTAGAAACTTCAAAACAATAAAAAATTAAGCCACTATGAAAGTGGAATGCTGCAAACACCTTGGCCGTGCAGACACGGCCCCTCGGGCTGTGCTCAGCTTCCGCCCTGTGTCCGGGGATGACTTACAGGGCGAGTATCTACCGTCACACTTACCATTGCAAAACCACCACCGATAGAGGAGGCTATGATACATCGCTCCGAGGAATTAGGATGGTAGTAACGGTAAAAGCAGATGGCTGAAGGAAACCAAGCCAGAGAGGATTATTCTCTGGGTAGAGCTAACTTTTTGGCAAGGTTCTGATTTGCCTCCACCCTGAAAAACAGCCCCGGAGGACAGAGCCTCTGAGCTGAAAGAGCTTCCAAACGAACTTAGGGTGGAAAAGGGGTGACTACACACACGTGCTCACATATATTATTATTATTACCATTGTAATTCTTGCCAGAGGGCAAATACACTTGCTGTGGGGACAGAGAAAGGAAGAAAGCACCTCCATGGGGCATGGTCATGCTGCCATCCCTTCTTCTCCATCTCTCCCTACTTTCTGGATTTTGGGAATGTACCCCCACATGCCCTGAGTGCTTTTCAAGCTGTGGGGTCCGGGACTCGAACCACATAGTTAGCCACATGGGACCCAGCTGCCTGAGCCACCAGGCTGGCATCTGGCCCAAGGGGTAAACTACTTGCTATTAAACAAACTAAAACTGGGACCTATTCACTGGGAGACTCACTGGGTGTCTTATCAGGTCGTTAGGAAGGAGGTGGTCAGGATCGACTGGACCATGGGAGACAAGCCACCATTTCTGGCCCAGGTTCACACTCGATGAAGTGTCTGCTTGAGATGAGGTGAAACAGCCAGGCACAATGGAGGTGCAGCTAACCTCCTCCAGTTGGCCTCCCATGAGCGACTCGGTCCCTCCTCTAGAGACGGGGAGAAGGAGCAATAGCAGTGTCCTCTGTCATGATGACACTGGGACCCTCCTTTGCTAGACGACATGTAACCCCACCCGGGGACACTTGCAGGCCGCTGATTTATGGGTTTCTATTCTTCTGCCGCTTAGTACCATCCCCAACACAGGGTGAGATTTCAGGGCATCCCCTCCAACTGGGGGCCTCCCATCTGTCTCTGCTCTTGTAGAACAACAGGTCGGACGCATTTAGCTCCAAACCATGTGTGCTCACGTGTGTTTTTTACTTCTGGGCACAACCAGTGAGTAAAAGAGCCCGAGGTGGCTGTGTTCGGCTCTACAACTTCCGCGACACCTCCCAGGTATGGCCAGAGAGTGGCATGTGTGTTACCAACGTTTCTTAAATTTACGACACTGGTCATTCTCCTTCCTGCTGCGATGTGTTCTAAAAGGATCAGAGAAGTTCTAGAACCAAACAATAAGAGGGTGAGAGTGAGTGTCCTGGCCCTGAATGCTATGGAACTGCCAGGAACTCTTCCCCCAGAGTGGGTGGCAATTTTACATGGGGTGCCAGGGACTCTGCACACCACGGGCCACCTCAGAGGCCGTTCTGGCTCTGACGTTTTGGAGTCTGAGAGAATACGATGAGCTGTGAAGAGAGGCTGGCTTCTTTCCTGTGCACAGCATATTACAGAGTGTCCCCGAAGGGAGCGAAGGGAGCGAGGGGCCTGGGCTGCTGCTTCTCCTCTCTGAGCTCCTGGCTCCACCTCTGAGCTGTACACAGTGGTTGGCACACAGGAGACAGCCAACGAATCTAGCATGCGAATTTGAATCTCACTTCGCACAACACATTACATCTTTTTAAATGCATGAAGTGCATTCTTCTAAGGGATTTACAGCTTAATTTCGCAGGGGACAAAAGTCCTATTAATAAACTCAGAGGAGTGATAATCACCAGACAGGGCTAAATTCTCTCAAGTTCTTTATGAAAAGTAAATATGCAAAAGCAAAGACTTCTTCCAGTTGGTCCCTTATAAGTTTAAAAGTTTTCTTTCATGTGTCCTTCTCTAAAAATGTGCAGCTATGAAAAATTAATGCCTGCCAGAAATTCCTGCCAGACCCTTGGCTCTTCCTCTCAAGAACACATGGTTACTTATTTAAAGCATCAGAAAGATAGTGGGCACGGACTTTATAAGGTGAAAATGCACCGATAATTTTCATCTTTTGCCCTAAAAGCTTTAAATAGGGTGGGAAAAAACATACCGTGTATATACCCATAGACATGCCTGAGATGATACTTGTGAACGGGTCTGGTATTTGCTAAGATTTGCCACTTACCTTGATGTTACTGTGACTTCTAGAAAGTGTGCATCTCAGAATGTTAAAGAAAGGACAGCTCCAGAACTTCGCGGGTCAATACAACGAGGCGTTGTACCAATGTATTAATGTACTGTATAAGGTTGTGAGTTCAGAGGGCCATGCTTCTATGTCGGCTTTATTTACATGTGAAATTTTTTCCAAGTGATACAGGGAAATGGATACCACATGTTTTCCAGCTGCTTTGTTCTGACAGGAGCCATTAAGAACGCTCTATGGAAATGAATTCTGTCTGAGTCTTAGAAAAACACTTCTTTTCACAGAAAGGTCTAGAAACTGAAGAAGGAGCATCAACATTTAGGCTTACTGTCCTTACTCTGTTTAAACCTGTGATTCTTCTAGGCTGAGGGTGAAATCTATGCTTTCTAGTCTGTATCTTTTCTTTCTTTATTTAGACAGATTTTTGCTATAGGACGAGTGTGCTCACTGGAGACACAGAGAGAAAAAGAGAGAGAGAAAGTGAGAAATTCTCTCCCAGAGGGTATGGCCACACCACAATCCTCTCTCCAGCATTTTCCTCTCTGGATGTTGGACATGCACTCACACGTGCCCAGCGTTGAGTTTTAAGTTGCCAGGTCCAGGACTTGAACCATGGTCAGCCATGTGGGAGTCCAGCACCTTAACCACTATGCCACCTGCTGGCCCCTCTAGTTGGTATCTCAACTGCCAAAGGAAAAAAATCCTAGTCATAAAAAATGAATTACTGAATGCGTTTTTGTGAAAATGGTCCAATTTATTGTTGTTTCCTGTACCTGAATGAGGAGGGTAACTTCATGTTAGAGAAAAGACAAAACTTAGTTTATTTCTCCTAATCTAGACAGTTTGGGGCACAACGCAAGAAAGAGGGGAATTAATTAGTCACTTGCAATATTTTCACCTCCAATTCTGTAAGTCTATAGGAACTTTCATTTCTATTGTTGCTCCACCCTAATAGTAAAATAAACTTCTTATACAGGGAAACAAAGTTCCGATTAACCATGGTTACTGGAAAGATTCTGAGGCTAGATTTGGTTCCTGGAAATCATGAATGAATTGTGTACATGTTAACAAAATTTAAATCCTCCCTAGTTTTACCTATCCTAGGTCTTACAAGCTCTTTGAGAATATGGTCTGTGTCTAATCTCTCTCCGTCCCTCACAGCATGAAGCAAATTGCTCTGTGTAAGTAGGTTCTTAATGACGCTTTGGTTGAATGGGTTGAGTGACCTGACTGTCACAGACTTCTAAGATGGTCAAGAGGTAAATGGAAATGTATCTGATGCTAACGATTTATAGGCGACAGTGCTCTCTTCTAACCTCGCTGGCATTTGGGGTGCCTCTGAGCTTCCGCAAGGTATTTGCAACTGTCTGCCGACCATCCACAGTCCAGGAGCACTTCATGCCAGCCTGGGACATACGGGCTCCTCACAGGCGGCACCTTCCAGCCCAGGGGGCCTCGTCCTTCTCTGTTTTGGCCTGCCTGCTCCCTTTCTCCCCTCACCCCAACACGCTGCGTCCCTCTTCCCTGACACGTGCCTGGTGATTCTGGCCCGGATGACCACGGCACCACCCATGCAGTACCCCGAGAACCCTTCTCCGAGGCAGCAATGACCGTGCTCTTTCTTTGACTCCTACCCCTTGTCCCTCAGGCACCAAGTCCTACCATGGCTTTATCCTAAATCCATCTCCTATCTGGACTCTCTTCTTCCTCTAATTCACGCATCAGGGGGACAGGGCCACACTGGCCCTCTCTCACAGCCTCTGCAAGGTTGCCTGGCTTCCTCTGGTCTCACGTGGCAGTCCCGCTATCCCTCCTGGTGGAGCCTGACTTGTCACTGACAGGTGGCTGAGAACCTCAGGCGGCTCTGTACCAACCAGAACAAAGATTCCATGTGCGGGAAGCATCACTCTGCAGCCCTCGGAGGGCAGACGGGAACCACGCTGGGAACCCTGAAGTAGAGAATGACGATGCTATTTGCTTTCTGGTCTTCCTTCCCTCCCGTCAATGTAAGAAGCCTCGGTTTGTTGTTGCTAGAAGAGTTTAACTCCTCTCCAAAACTTAGTCTCCCTTTAAGAGCAGTCTGTAGGCCTCAGGCTCAGAGTCTTTCGTTGGCCAATTAACAGAAAAACTCATGTTCATCACATCTATTTTAATGATGAGCTTGAGTTTATTGCAGGAGACATTGTTTTTTAATTTTTAATTGTGATATACATTTTTAAAAGAATTATTTATTTAATTTTATTGAAGTCTAGAACTCAAACTGTAGTCAGTCATGTGGGAATCCAGCACTTTAAACACCATGCCACCTGCTGGCCCCCAAAATTTCTTTTAAAAACAAGTATTTTTAGGTCCAGCAGGTGGGGTAGTGGCTAAGGTGCTGAACTCCCACATGGCCAACCATAGTTCAAGTCCTGGGCCTGGCAGCTTGAAACTCAGGCTGGGCGTGTGTGCCAAAAATCCCAGAAGGAGAAAGGAAGAGTAGGGATTGCAGCATGGGCATCCCCAGGGGAGGTGATTTCTCACTTTCTCTCTGTGTCTCTGGAGACCACACACACTATAGCAAAAATGTCAAAAAAATATATATATATTTTTTTAAATAAATAACTGGCAGGCAGACTGGTGGCTAAAGGCACTGGACTTCCACATGGCCGACAGTGGTTCAAGTCTTGGACCTGGCAGCTTGTTCTCTTTCTTTCTCTACCTGTTTTTCTCTGGTCAAATTAAAACTAATAATAATAATAATAA